TTAATGCTGGATAACATGTATATATTTAACATCGAGAATTGTAAAAGGGTATACGGTATTCTTTATATTAAAAAGTAGAATTAAATTGAAATAAGGGAGCCCTAATCAGGATAAAGATGCAATATGGTGGTCTTTCATTTTAGGTAAACTAAACTAGATATAAAGCTGGAGTATGGACCTGGAACTACCTTTAATAAGAATGTTATTAGAAGACCTGAGAATATTGTATATTAGGAAAGAAGTGTTATGATAATAGCCATATTATATATCAAAATATGTATATGAATGGTTTGAATGTTTGAAAGATGTTTGGAATCTGGGGGATAATTGGGAAGATACTGAGATGTAAAAAACATATAACTGTAAGCAAATATGTAACACGATGTTTGACAAGCACAAACTAATGTAGATAGGTTGAAAAACTAATAAAATGTTTATTAAAAAACAGAAGTCCAGAAAAGCTACTCAGTGACTGAAATGAGGCAGAGATGTAAATTAGCTGTATAAGAGGAAAGTATCCTGTCTCTTTCTGCAGCACCTTGGAATGAAATGTGTGTGGGGGGGTAAACAGCAGCAGTTACAACAAAAGTGTACAGCTTATATACCGCCCCATAGCGCTTAAAGCACTCGCTGCACAGTTCACAAATTAGGCAGGCTACACATTGTCCTCCCCCCCGGCCCTCAGCAAACTCACTTTACCCACCTCAGATGGGTGAAAACCTGAGTGAACTGCAAGCAGGCTACCTGGGATTGAATTTAGGTCCTGATCAGAGTTTGGGTCTATGGCTGTGTGAGAATTCGAACTCCAATCCCCAGAGTCCCCATTACTCTATCTACACAGAGTATCTTTAGTAAATGTTAGTACCTGTTATATGTTAATATGTGACTAACCATGTTATAGACTGCCTACATTAAATGAGTTTTAAATGTACATGACCAAAACGTGCCAGATAGTTTTAGATAAATAGATAAAACCTTTATTGGCCTAAGTAGAAATTGGACATAGTCACTGTGATTTCTTAGGTAACTACATAAATAGGCATCAAGAGTGCAGGAAAGTGTTAGACATCCTTAAAGGGACAATGGTTTGTCTTCTAACAAGAGTATCAAGGAAGTCTGTGACTCTTTCTACAATGTCAGTCATCTCGGCCACCAGCGTATAACGAACTTTATCCAGATCTGACCCCCCTTCCAGCTTAGCTTTAATAGAGGCTATCAACCTTGATCGGCCAGTCGAGTGAAGTGGGCAGTGCAAAAACATATGAACAAAGGTTTCCACCACCCACCCACCCTGTTCACATGGGCAGTGCCTTTCAGAACAGGGAACTGCATTAAATCTGCCATATCCTATAGCAGTAGGCATGACATTGCATCTGGCCAAAGAAAAGGCCCTACATTTTGGGGATAGTTGAGCAAGGAAAAGTAGGCAGCAGGCTTGCCCATTTTAGGAGGAATACGGAAAAACAATGGTGAACAGAATTTATTGGCAGCACTACAAAGATCCTGGAATTCAGTATCCAAAATTCTTCTTTTAATAATTTGGAAAGCTAGCTCTTGACTTAGAGCTCCAAGGTAGTCATTATCTATACCAATTGATTTCAATTTTTTCAAGATGACTATTGACCCAAAAAGCATGACAAGAGTCTTGCAGAAACTGGTATAATAAATGTCCATGCCTGAATTGTAATGGATACTTAACCAAAATTGGAATAATCTCAACCAAGCTACAGTCTGTATTAAAGATACTACAGACTCCAGACAGAGCACCTAGTAGGGCACACATCTAGGTAATCCTAACGCTTTGTGTAAGGAGGAGGGTTGTAGCTGTTCAATCGATTGATCCATAGCTCTTGCCCAAATTGGGAAACCATAGAGAGCTTGTGGAATAATTTGGGACTTGAAAACTTGTAATGTTGCCGGGACAAACCATTTTCCTAAATTATAATAAAAACGCAGAATAGATTGCGTAGTGATCGTAGCTACATTTCCAGCCATTTTTCAATGGGGGACACCAAGAGTGTTTTTAATGGGAAAGAACACCTAAGTATTTATACTGTTTAACCTGTTCTATGTGATTTCCATTTAGGTTCCATTGAAATTGTTTCCCTGTTTTGGCAAAAAACAGTATTTTTGATTTATTATAATTTAATTTCATTTTATTTTTGCTCAGACACTCTGCACATCCATTAATCAGGCATTTTAGGTCTGGATGAGTGCAGGAAATGATGACTGCATCATCCACATATACAGTATGGGATGGGACGAGTTCCCAATTTGGGAGGGTGGCCATCATAGTTTGTCAGAAATGGTTCATAAAAAGGTTAAAGAGTAAGGGAGCCAGGATGCAGCCTTGTTTCACTCCCTTGTTAGTTGGGACCTGGTTGGTTACTTTCCCTCTCCGAGAAAGTCGAATCTGGCATGTTGTAACAGAGTATAAACCTTTTATTAGAAGGAGGAGCAGTCTTTTATCAATGTCCAGATTTTCCAATTTGTCCCATAATAGTTGTCTATCTATTGAATCAAAAGATCCCTTTAAATCAAGGCTACATAGAGTTTGGCATTAGCATATTTTAATGTTTTATTAATAAGGTGCAAGAGCACCAAGCAATTGTTGATTGTGGACTTGCCTTTCATAAAACCAGCTTGCTTGGGGCCAAGAATAGATTGATTGTCAGTCCAAGAAGTGAATTTGTTAAATAGGTATTTTGCATATATTTTCCCCATCACTGATAGTAAGTTAATTGGCCTATAATTTTCTGGGAGGGAGGGATCCCATTTTTTAAAAATTTGTTTATTGTTTTAGCCGGTTGCCTAGCTGTTAAGAATTAATTCTGAAAATTAGTTGCTATATTATGTTTCCTTTTCTTTTTGTCCTCTTCTTTTTTAAAATGGTCCCATAAAACCAGTTTTTTCTTCTTCTTTTCAGCAGAGATCATGGCTTTGAAGGAAATTTCAACTAATAAATGTTTCGAGGGTTTTCAGAAAGTGTATGAGCATAACAGGTAGTATTTTACTTACTTAAATGATTTTATACCCTCCTCAGCTCTGTCGCTAAGGCTTTTCCTACGACGAAATTGCAATATAAACTATGAAAATATGAAAGCAATAAAAACAGCAGGTGAACAATTGGCCACGAAAGCTGTAAACGCCCTGTGCCCATCGGGTGAGCCTATTTGTGAAAGGAGTTAATGTAGGAGCTTGGCAGAGTAGATAAAAATCAATGGGGATTTTTTTTCTTTCAAATTTACATCAGACCAGTTTTCATTTTTATATTTTAAATGCCTTTTTAAAGTCCTGCATGATGCCACTGTTAATTTAAAATGTGTGATACATAATAGAGTTCATTCTGCAATATAAATTACGAATTCTAATTCTATAATATGAGACAATAAATTCATATATATATTTTAAAAAAATTTTAAAATAGAATCCATCAGTTCTTTGACTGGGGCCTCAATTTTATGGAAATCTGCAAGCTTCTATGTAGATTATTCGGGTTTAATCTTTCTGTCCATTACTCATTCTGTCAGATGTCAGAAAAACATGCAGTCCTTAAACTAGGTTTCCATCTCCAAAGATACATTCTTGTTAAAAACTGTTTGTGGAAATATTAGATCAGATCAGCACTGTTTTCCAACTACAACTGAAGTTACTCTTGGAGGGTTTTTCCCCTTCTTTCCCTCTGTGTGGGAAATATCCAAAATTCTTGGAACCTTTATTAAAATCTCCAGGTTTGCTTTCAGCTGTTTTCTTCTGACTAAGTCTGATCCTGTGGAGCAGCAGTCCTCTGGGCTATTGTATAAACAAAGTCAAGTCCTTACTTCTTTCTCTCTGAAGGGAACAAAGTGGATTTGGAGTTAATAATAATAATAAAAAACTTAAGTTGCGACTCAGAGCATAACTTGCCCATGAATAAATTCCAATGAACAAAATGGGACATAGAAACACACTGATTGTGTGATTGTGCATAGGATTATACTGTTTAACCTTGACTTCTCAAAAAATTGTCTTTAAATCTATTCTCTTATTTTATAATACTTCAGGAGACAGTAAAGCTTTTGGTGTGGTACAAGATAAAGGTTCTGAAAAAAAAAACTGTTATTTGATCTTACACTTTTTAAATGTTCCCGCAATATTGTCCTGGATCATTGGGTTTTATGCTGCAAATGCTAATTGTCTGGCACAATCCTGGCTCATACACTGTACACACATACCCAATACTCAATTCCTGTGGGTCTCCTCTGTTTCTGTTCAAAGCTTGTTATATATCTTCCCTTCTATGCTCACATGTCCAGATTCTTAGACGAGCTGTATCTTTTCCCGAATTCTGACATGTTCTAGTTTTAGTAATGTATTGCTAAATGTATTTAGTAATGTATTTAGTAAAGTATAAAATCCATTCATCATTGAATTTTTCACTTTGATTTTTCACTAACTTAAAAAAAAAGTACAAAATACTTGAATCCCATCGCTAAGTTTGATAACTTAGCCATGGGATTTTTGGCTAAGTTTGATAACTTAAAAGTTATTGTGAAAACTATGATTGTTCTATTAGACTGCAGTTTCTACTAATGGAATTTGATTTTGACAGTGCGGAGCTGAAATGCAAAATGAAATTTGGAATTTATTTGCCACCAAAGGCACAAACGGAGAAATGTCCTGTATTATATTGGCTATCAGGTATGTATTTCGAGGCCGTCTTTGGAAATTATATCACAAAAGATTGAATTACTTGTGCTGTTTTGTTAGCATGAACTGAGCAGGCTTTTAAAAGTGGACAACAAAATATGAGTATGGATTTAAAGTTTTGGTTTATTTGGACAAGTGTGTCACCTGCTGATGAAGTCTTTGCCTATGGTATCAGCCGAACCTTAATAAAGACCTATGGTTGGACAGAACTATTAGTTTGGAGCACACACATTCCAGAATCTTCTTAGTAGGATGCTTAGAATGTGAGACTCAAAGAGGCTCAATTTTGTGTTCAAATGCGCATGTTTCTTGTTTGGAATGGCCAAAGTGCAAATGTAGCAGAAAGAACTCCCAGCACAGGCAAATGTCAAGAAATGTGTATTTTTACTCTTATTTTGTCTAGGAAAATCCCTTGCTATTTCTAGGGTGTTTGGAAGGCAAATATATTTGCAGGCTCCAGGATTCCTATCCCCAAAAAGTTTATAATTTTTTTTAAAAAATGTCTGTTGTTTATAATTGCAGTGGTCCCCAACCTTGGGCCTCCAGATCTTCTTGGACTTCAGCTCCCAGAAATCCTGGCCAGCAGAGATGGTGGTGATGGCTTCTGGGAGTTGTAGTCTAAAAACATCTGGGGGCCCAAGGCTGGGGACCACAGAGGGCATGAGGAGGCATTTTCAGTATGAAAAAGAGAGTTGTGTTTTGTTTTTGAAGAACAGATATTTGGGGCTGGTCAAGGTATAGGAACAGATACAGCCCTCTGAGGTTTAGGAAAGAGAATGTGCAGTCCTCTGAAGCTTACTCATCCCTGTTCTAGCCCTTTTGTTGTGGAAATATTTTTTTAAAATATAAACAGTGATTACAGACAGCTCTGTGGTTCAGGAAATGTTGCTTCCGAATCATTCCTAGTATTTCCTGGTCTCTGGCCATCTATATGGTGTATCTCTTCATTTATACTGTACTTCCTGCGTTCTACTATTTAGGGTAGAGCTTACCATTAGGAAGAATAAGGCAGCCTCTCCAGAGAGCAAATAAAGGGGGGGGGCAACAGCCCTTGGCTGCTTCTTTCTGTTGGAGGACTAGAGTGGTCTATGCTACATAGCCTGTCCTGAACCCACTAAATTAATTTTCCACCTTAGGTATTTCCATCTATGGTGGTCACCTGTGTTATAGTCAAGGTTCCCACTAAGTTGGGCACGTTTGCGGGTGCGTGCAACTCCACCTCCCTCCGTGCAGCTCTCTTGTTCCTCCATGCAGCAATCGCATCTCACTCCTTTGGTTCATTTTGCGATGGAATCCTGCGTGGGGGGGGGCAGAGTTGTGGGCGCATGCAGAGGTGAAGTTGCATGGGGGAGAAGCAGAGCCTCACCACCGGTGAAAATGAGAAGGGTACTTTGTTATAGTACTGAAACCGATGGTGCCGTGCATCTTGTTTTTAAAGTTGAACTGGAAAACAAGCTGGTTGAAAGCTTTTCTGTGGGTTAACTATATGGCATTTAATCTTCCACTGTTGGATTTGCAGTGTTTTCTTTGCTTCATTCTCAAAGACTGATTTTTATTTTATTTTTTTGGAACACAAAATAGAGTCTGTTCTGCAATGCTGAAGCATGTCTTGATTAATCATTATGCTTTCCACGCCTTCGTAGGGTTTAATTGATTAACAAGCCGTGTAAAAATAACACTTATCTCTTAAGATAATGTTTTTAGAGTCTTGAAAGTACTTCCTACGTTATCTTGTTTCATCTTGTCGCATTACAAAGCAGAGAGACATATTTCTCAGCTGAGAAAAAATGGGACCCTATAGCTTAATAAATCTTGCAGATAATTTCCACTTATAAAGAACTCCTATACAATGTATTCGCGAAGGCTTTCACGGCCGGGATCTATTGGTTGTTGTGGGTTTTTCGGGCTCTTTGGCCGTGTTCTGAAGGTTGTTCTTCCTAACGTTTCGCCAGTCTCTGTGGCCGGCATCTTCAGAGGACAGCACATAGGTGCCAGCTCTAAAAATACTCCTGGGAAGGAGTGACATTAGTCTGTTTCCTCAGAGCAAACTAGACCACTGCCACCCCTGGCTGTCTTTGTGCTGTGAAAATCTTGGTTTTCTTTTTTCACCGTTGCTGTGCTAATTCTTGTCAAAGGCGTGCAACTTTTCCGGAATTCTCCTGCCTTCCCCCACCATGCATAGTTCTCCCATAGGAGACCCAGTTACAGCTCAACAGTTGTATGTCCCGTGGGGGTGTTTCTTAACACATCGCCTACATAATGTATTTTTATAGTAGCTGTAGGGATAACGAGCTCTCCCCAAATGCAGATTATTTGCTCCTTGATTTCCTTGTTGCTGAGCTTTATCCTTGACAAAGCAAATTTGAATTGTTTTTCAGATACAGTGGTGCCTCGCTTAACGGCAATAATCCGTTCCAGGAAAATTGCTGTTAAGCGAAAATGTCGTAAAGCGAAAATAAAAAGCCAAATGAAATGCATTGAAAACCATTCAGTGTGTTCCAGTGGGCTAAAAACTCACAGTCCAGTGAAGATCCTCCATACGGCAGCCATTTTCTGTGCCTGTATAGCGACGAATCCGTCCCTAGACACAGCGGGGAGCCATTTTAATTACCCGGCGGCCATTTGGAACCGCCGATCAGCTGTTTAAAAAACATTGTTTTGCGAAGAATTGGTTCCCGAAGCAGGGAACCGATCATCACAAAGCGAAAAAACCCTATTTAGACCATCGTTTTGCGATCGCAAAAGCGATTGCAAAAATGTCATTAAGAAGCGGATTCGTTGTAATGCGAGGCAATCGTAAAGCGGGCCACAACTGTACTGTTTATGTACAGGGCCATAAAAGGTAGGATGCATATCTCACCCCACTGTTCTGTGGTTAAAAAAATAGTGAACCCTATTAACATCATATCAAAATTTTAGAATTTCACTTGATACAGCCTCTTCTACCACCAATATGTGAGCCCTCCCCTTCCCTCCCCCAAACAAGATTATCCACAAGGGAACGTGGCTATTGGCAGAAAAATATTTTGAAAGCAAATTGTGCCCATATTTTTTCTGTTCCTTTGTGGTTGCATACGAACAGAGGCAGACGAAGCATAAACGTTTTGGCTGTTGTTTTACTGTAGCTTCCGTGAGCCTTAGACAGCACAGCCAGTGGTGAGGAATGCTGGGAACTGTAGTCCAACAACATCTGGATGGCTTTATTTTGTCCACTCCTACTTTCCTACTCTTGCTTGATGAGATCCTGAGATTCTCCTGGTTCTTCCCCAAATGCCACATCCTAATCCTGTCATGTAGGGTTTTGGTGTCTTTGATCATTAATAATTGACCTATCTCTTTGTATGTGAAGAGAATGTAAAAAAGGAAGGTGTAGATTATCATCATCATCTTAGAACTGTAGACCTGGAAGGGACTCTATGGATCATTGAGTCCAGCTTTTGTCAAGGAGGTACAGTGGGGAATCAAACTCCCAACCTTTGGCTCCACAGTTGGATGCCTAAACTACTGAGCTATCCAGGAGTTACCTGGTGACTCAAAGAAGTTCGCACTTGTGACCCAGAATGCTGTGGGCACTATGCTTATTCTTGCAATATTCTATCTTTCCAGGGTTAACGTGCACAGAACAAAATTTTATAACAAAAGCAGGCTTCCACCAAGCTGCAGCTGAACATGGTCTTGTTGTAGTTGCTCCAGACACCAGCCCGCGTAAGTTCTGCTTCACCAATGAGCTTCCCATGAAATGCCTTTGCCATCAATTTTCTGAAGCTTTTAATTTTGCTCATAAATTTAAGCTGAACTGTGTACCGAAATCTAATACAGCATGCATGCATTTATTTATTTATTTATTTATTCATTCATTCATTCATTCATTCATTCATTTATTTATTTATTTATTTATTTGTTTGTTTGTTTGTTTATTTATTTTTTTATTTTTTTATTTTTTTATTTATTTATTTAACTTATATGCCGCCCACACTACCTGAAGGTCTCTGGGCGGTTTACAACATTTAAAATACAATAAAAAGGCGAAATCGTAAATGTAGTGAGAACACACCTTCTATGAATGCTTAATTTTTGGCTTACTTCAAAATTAGCTTCAAGGAATTGGCTTGGATTAGCTTCCCAATAGGTTATACATAGAAACTACATATTAAAACTCTGTAGAAAGTGGGATGTTGTATAAAGGTGGCTGGAGGAAAGTTGCTTAACCATGGATTAAACACATTGGGATTTTAATAGTTACTTCTACTCACATGGATGGAGCAGAACAAAACCTAGACAAATGAAAGAAAATATTAATTTGAATTCCTCAGACCACTAAGTGGGGAGCTCTGGAGATAACTGGTCGGGTGACATTTCTGTATAGGTATGGTCCTGTAGAAACCATCTTCAGGTAGGGTATGGCATGCTGGCTACACAAACTTTTAAATTAAAAACAAAAGTTAATCACTGGGGAAAGGAAAGGAGAGGCAAGTTTTCCTTTCAACAGTGTATAAAGCCGACTGGAAAGCAGTGCTAAAGCAGTTCTTACCGCAACTTATCTCATGTTCTGATTTGCACTGGATGGATTCTGATTTTAGCCTAGCTCTATTCTCTTCTAACCTCCAATTCCCACAACAGAATGAGATGCTTAACTCACAGCATTCTATCTCAACATCACCTCTTTATATTTCTGGATATGAACGACGTTAGAAATGGAGGAGACCAGCAAGAGCTTCAGCTAAGCCAGCAGGCAATCAGAAAACTGTCACAATGTCTTTGCCATGTCTTTGCCATGTAGAAGCAACCCCAATAAGAAATAATTATGTGTGTGTGTCCTAATTCACGAGTGGAGGACATCTACCCCTCCAGATGTTTCACTCTTCAACTCCCAGATGTTGGACACAGCACAGTAATTGTAAGGAATTTGGGAAGTTATAGTCAAAAATATCCAGAAGGCCTGCAATTTGCTATCCCTGCTCTGACGAGTTTTAAGATTCCGGCTGAAATAGATGTTGCTGAACAGCCCTGCTAGCAACTAGATTTAGTGACAGATTCCTCTGAGAGTTAGGGCTTCCAGAGTGTATCTGCAACTAGATTAACAATGAAATTTTGCGTGTTTATTACACATTGGAAGTCACTACTGCCAACATATATTTAGGCTCAATCTGTACAGCCAGTCTTAGTAGCCATCTTACTGAGTGAGAATCTAAGAGATATAAACTAAAGCAGAGCTGGGAAATTCTCCTCCTCTTTTTCTTTCTTTCTTTCTTTTTATTACAGTTTCCGGTAAGGAGATGGCAAAGGCTTCTGGGAGTTGTAGTTCAATAACATCTGGAGGCCCAAGGTTGGGGACCCCTGCTCTAGCTAGTTCTGGGGAGAAAAAAAGTTTCCAGAGTCAAAGTTGGATTGCAGCATCAATCAAAAATGGCTCACATTTCTTCCTATAGGCAAGCCTATATGTTTTTTGCTTTGGAAGAATATAGTTGCCTAAGTAATAGAGATTCAGGGACTTCATCTGTGCTCTTTTCTGGGAAAACAGCATATAGACTGAACATGTATCTTTTCCTCCAGTACAAATGTCAGACACTAGGGTCCTCGATTACACACTCTTCAAGCTGATCTTTCAGCCAGTCCCTCTGAGCATGTCGGCTTTTCTGCTCGGCAGCCCATTTGAAGAGACCTCCTGGGTTGTCGGGCAAATTTTCTGCCCAACGAACGGAACCTGTCTTGCTTTGTTGAAGAAGGAGAGACCACAGCCTGCCTCTTTCCCATGAAGTAGAAATGTCAGTACCTATTTCTGTATTTCTGGATGGTGTTTTATCCATATTGAATGTCTCTGTTCATGACAGGAGGGTGCAATATTAAAGGAGAAGATGAGAGCTGGGATTTTGGCAGTGGAGCTGGTTTTTACGTAGATGCCACTGAAGAACCATGGAAGACGAATTATCGCATGTACTCTTACATAAAGGATGAGGTGATTCAAATACCCCCTGTCTCGGAACTTCTGTGGAATGGCACTCCATACATTCTTGTGAACCTTTATCATTTAACTTGCTTTCTTTGATTAGTACCTTATACACAGTCACATAGGGTCATGTGGGATTCATGCTTGCAGAACCTCTCCTCATGACAGCATCCAAAGGGACTGGGAGGAAAAGAGGTAACAGCACGGGTGTATTTATCTCCATAGCTGACCAAGAGGTGGCTGTGTTTTAGAGGCTGGCAGAAGATGATTCAAAGGAAGACCACTGTGTGCACCATGGATGGTTGCATGTACTTGGTGGGCAAAGAGAATGCTGGCTTTTGAGTCTCTCTCTTCCCTTCTCTCCCTCCCCATTCTTCCCCCAAATTGAGCCAAACCGTCTGAGAGCATATGGTGCAGTTCTTTGGTTGAAACCAAACCCCTCAACGTCTGGTCAGTTTCTCGATGGGAGATCACCAGGGTTTCTCACAGCCCATCTCCTTGACTTCCATGGTGAAAAATAAATGAAGCGACTATATAAAATAGGAAATAAAACATCTGAGCAGGCAGGAATAGGGTTGCTGTTTGAACTCTGCCTATCTTTCTAGCTCAGCCTCAGCCCTGAAACTAGGTTCTAGTGGACATCCCCAAGCCAAGGAGAAGCTGGCTAATAAATTCTCCACTTGTAGCTGGTATAAAATATAGACTGGTGAGCATCAGATGTGCGTTTTCTAGATATTGTAGCAAAAAAATAAGGAAAACTTGTTCTGCTGAAATGGAATGCAGCAATGCCTATTTTCAACCTCTGTGGGTCAAAATGCGAAGGCACTTGCGTCTCTTCCCTTCCCAATGATGTTTTTCAGTTGTCCAACCTGATAAATGCCAATTTCCCGGTTGACTCTGGAAGGATGTCTATTTCAGGCCACTCCATGGGAGGCCATGGTGCTCTGATCCTTGCTCTGAAGAATCCCGGAAGATACAAAGTAAGAATCTGAAGCTTAAATTATGTCAAGGGAAATCGAAGAATTAGAGAGGATGGGGGAAAATAGATATAGTGTTCCTGAAAAACAAAGAGGTGCAAGATTGCAGATTCTATGCCTGTCTGCCTGAGAGTAAGATTTGTTCAATTTATTGGGAGTTGCTTCTCAGTGTACAGGCTTAGGGTTGCACCGACAGTTTTGAAAAAGAATTAAACATCTTTTAATGGTTTTTCTAAGGAAATAGTAGGGGTTCAAGAGAGATGTGGAGAGGATTGTATGGTAAATGGTCTCAGTTTTGAGTATGCCAGCAACAATCAGGTTATTGTGTTTTTCTGTTATCTTTTCCTCCCTCCCGTGTATGTTAAAGAAGCTGTGATGCACTATTGTTGCAAAAAAGCAAACAAACAAAAAACAAAAGCAGTATAGAGAATTTATTAGAAATTTTAGGAATCCAGTATTTAGAGGAAGTATTGCACTTGGACTGTAATATATTTTCCCTGAGCTTCTTGGAAATCAGCCGGGAGGCTGGAGGCCTCATAGGGGATCCTATGTTAGAGAATGACACAGTCTTGAACAGTGGAGGTGTATTGATGAACGGAGACAGAATAGCTTATGTTTTTAACCCAGAAACCTAATAAACAGTCTTTGCTATTAATTGAATTAGACTTTTGGAAGAAGCAGATATTCCTTTTTGATAGAGATGTCTTTGTAAATCCTGACATGGATAATCAGCTGTCAAATTACTTCTGACTTGTAAAAGCAGGTTATTTTGCAGTTTTGAAAGTATGAATGGGGCCGTAAAAAGTATATATGTATTACGCTAGAAGTCCTAGCTGTTGTCATATAAATCACATCCTAAGATAATCTTGTTTTGGTGCATCTCTAAATAGTATATGTATATTTTGGCTACAGCTAGGATTAAGTGTGTACTGTGTTCGTGAAGCATCCATAGGTGAATTAAGAGTGGCTCAACATGGCTTTCCCCATTCCTGACAAAAGTGGAAAAATCAGCAGTTGTGTTCTCAGACCCTGTGTTCTCAGACTTTAGGATTCGCAATTGTTGAGGGAAGTCATTGCCAGATTTTAGCACAAGAGTATGATTTTTTTTTTTACCTTCAATTTCTACATAGTCTGTTTCAGCCTTCGCTCCGATCTGCAATCCAGTTCAGTGTCCATGGGGAAAGAAGGCCTTTGGTGGATACTTAGGATCAAATGCGAAAGACTGGGAGGTATGCATTGGAAATTACAGGAATATTTTTACTTAACAGGGGGGGGATCCTAACCTCAGTAGGACCCCCCCCAACCAACCACCTCTCTCGTAACAAGTGAGAAGTGAACTTCTTGGAAGTAAATGTCTTCTTTTTCCTCTTGAAAGCAACAGGTGTTACTGGTCTAGATCCAGAAGGGTTGTCCCTATGACAGATAGTGCCCTTGGTGCGGAAGGCTTTCACCATTCTACTCAACAGTGTTGCATTGGAGCTGAATTAATCACTATCATCCATCTTAGAACTGTAGGGCTGGAAAGGACCTTATGGATCACAGAGTCCATCCCCTATCAAGGAGGCACCTTGGGGAAATCACACTCCCCACCTCTGGCTCTGCAACCAGATGCCTAAGCCACTGAGCTACCCAGCCAGTTCAATAAACACAGAATCCTAAGACCTAGCAAAACAAAGCTTTATTGTGTTGGGTTTTATTGAGAATAAACGCCATCAAACTTGATATTGAAAATGAAGCATATTTCAGAGATAAATGACAGATTTTAAAAGCGATTTATTTATTTCTGTTAAAATAATAATTAAAAACATACTGATGCTTTGTGAAACCCTAGCTGAATGCAATGACAAAACCAGGAAAGAGACCAGACCTTAATTTATTTATTTCTGGTAAAATAATAAATAAAAATATACTGATGCTTTGTGAAACCCTAGCTCAATGCAAGGACAAAACCAGGAAAGAGACCAGACCTTTGCAATGAACCAGGTTGCAAAGATCCAGCTTTACTCACAGTGTTTATTTTTTAAATATGTTAACTGAAAAAACTACCGTATTTCTGAAAGAAAACACAGCTCTGCTAACACAACCCCCCCCCCCCGAAATATTAATTTCCACTCACCGGATTTCCCCACGCCAAGAATGCACATAGGATAAATGAAGTGGTGTCAATGTTATGCCTTCTCATTAAGTTACATAAGTTAGTTACAAAAGTTAATTACAAGCAACTAATTATTTGTAACTAGTTACTTCCATGGTCACATGTGTCTCCCTCCTTTCAGGTAGTTTATGAGGTTAGATGTGTAGGTGATTGTTATGGCCTTTTGACAAAACCAGGAAAGAGACCAGACCTTTGCAATTAAACAGGTTGCAAAGATCCAGCTTGCCTCACAGTGTTTATTTTTTAAATATGTTAACTGAAAAAACTACCGTATTTCTGAAAGAAAACACAGCACTGCTAACACAACCCCTCCCCCGGAAATATTAATTTCCACTCACCTGATTTCCCCATGCCAAGAATGCACATCAAAAGTTAATTACAAGTAAGTAATTATTTGTAACTAGTTACTTCCAAGGTCACATGTGTCTCCCTCCTTTCTGGTAGTTTATGAAGTGAGACATGTAGGTGATTGTTATGGCCTTTTGACAAAACCACAAAGTCACTGAACTAAGGTTATCACCTTCAGCTCAGTGCTTTTTGGGGAAAAGAGGGTGCATAATCAGAATATGTGTTTTTATTCCTCTGAAGAGTAATATGTGTAACCGCCATTATATCAGTCATATCGTATTGTTATGAGCTTAGTCTATGTTGTGTTTCAGTGTTAGGCAAAATGCAAAGGAAATTGGCTCTTTCTGTTGATTGTTCTTGCCATCCATCCACCTACCCAACCACTCCCACAGGTCTTTTAAAGCCCTTGCAAGACTCCCACCATGATTGGAAGTGAACCTGTCTTTGTCTTTTGCAGGCATATGATGCTACCCACATTGTGAAGTCTTACGAAGGTGCCCCTTTAGATATCCTGATTGATCAAGGCAAAGATGATCAGTTCCTTTCTGCAGGGCAGTTGCTGCCTGACAATTTCATCGCTGCCTGCACAGAACGTAAAGTCCCAGTTGTCTTCAGAATGCAGCAGGTAAATGCCTGCAAAGTTGTGTGTTCTGAGGTTCAAGTTTCAGTAGCAAACAACGATTTTGGCTTTTTCTTCTTCTGAAGGAAGAGGCAGTATTTTAA